TTGCTGCATTGGAGTGATTTTTCCCCCCTTAGTCTCTCATAGAACCCCATCAAGTTCTTCTGGAACACAGTTTGAAAATTCCTGGCTCATCTGTTGCTGCTGCTCTCTTTCTCTACATATTCTGCTGTTTAAAAATGTGTGCCTCCAATTACATGGTTATTATATATTAATTACGGGGAGCTGTCTTTGGAAAGAAATCGTAGATATATTTTAAAAAACAGAAAGAGGATTCTGAAGAACTCGCTTCCATGGCTGGTTTCTTAGCCAGGGGAAGGCTGCAAGGGCGCTGCTGCCAACACGTGCGGCGCTCTCGCTGAATTTTCAGCTGCCTTTTTATTAAAGGCATGTGGGCACCTTGCCAAATGCATTGCAAGACATGGGCCTGCTGGGCCCACATATTGAGCCACAGCAGTGCCAGCTCTGCTCTCTTCATCAGTGTAACAATTCTTTGTCTAATGATAGGGTTGAGCCTGAAATTGTCATTTTTTAAAGCTGGGGAAAAGGTAGACAGGGAGCTGGAGCCAAGTGAGGCTCTCCAATCTGCCTTCTAGAGAGGTTTGAAGAAGGGCCTCTTTCCTTGCCAAGTCTTCGTTCATTACAAGGACAAAACACAAAATTGGCACATTGATTTGGCCTAAAGTGCAGCATGTAATACATTGGTAGATATATAAAGCCGCAGCTGTGTATCTCAGGCTGCTGGTGAAAGACATTCTTAAACCCTGAGTACGCATTGTGCCAGCACTGAAAATAATAAGCACTCTTAGAATAAAAATCTATCAAATCGATGGCTGTGTCTTGAATATGGCGGCTACAAGCTGCCCATCCAGCTTTTAGGAAGAGACTAAAATCCTGATTATTAAAGCTGAGAGGAAAGGAACAGGAGGGTTAAACAGCCACTGTGAGGTTGCCCAGGGTTTGGTTCGTTTGATCTATCTATCTATCTATCTATCTATCTATCTATCTATCTATCTATCTGATTTATATGGCTGTCCATCTCAAATACATGACTGTAGGTGGCTTATTTGTATTAAAAATTATAGAAATGTATACAAGCTTCTTTCCTTTGTGCTGCAGGCTCAGATTTTCCACCATCAAATATCCTATCTCCACGGGAGGCACAGCTGCTTTGATAAAGGGCAAAGAG